GCCGAATGCTCGCGAAACAGCATCAAGTGGGCCGATAGCCTCATCCAAAGATTGACTGGTCGTCTATAGTGATCAATCTTTCTGCTTCTAACAGGGTGTATGAGCACAAAACCTGCTGCTTCACATTAGAACATAACTTCAAAATGTCACGAGAAGAACATTTAAATCTTGTGTTATCTGTTATCTTGTTATCTCACTCTGGTTCAACTCACCATCTGTTACTCGTTACAACAAAGCCTGATTCAATCAATCACATTGTCTGTGGCGCTCGCCTCGTATCTGCAGGGTGCCGTGCGGCTTTAATGCACCAACCAACGGGGTAGGTTTTTCTGCAGGTATGGCAGATTTAACACTTTGTAAGCTCACATAACATCCCTTAAGGCCTCACATGGTTATTTGAAGCCACTCAGCGGCCGCCTGAAAAGCCAATTCTGCCCGTTGCCGCTAATGGGAACCTCAAGGACAGAAACCATCACGCGTGGCTATTCTCCTTCATGGATGCTTCTTTCGCACGGTTGAAATATCAATTAGAAATGCTGCTGTTGGTTTGCACGTTGAAGGGTGTCCGCACGAAACATCCATCTATGTATCAACTACTCGATGGGAGCGCTTTCCTATTAATGATTTTTTTTCTTCTGCAGAGCGTTTTTTGAGGGTTCAGCACCCAGATGAACGCATGTTCATCGATTCGGCCCGCGGCTCCCCTGCTTTCACATGGGCCTGGGAGATAACAATAAACAGCTAGATTTGCATATTCTTGACGAGAAGAAATCTAACTACTGACTGCAAGAATAGGTTGTGGTAAAATGGTAAAATATTGGACCGTTGAGGGTGTGCGGGGGGGGGGGTCTTCTACTGGTTGCAAGATCAGAAGATATTGCCTGGGTAGGTAGAAAAGAAACTAGAGCCTCTCGTGACAGTTCATAGCTTTAGTATGATTATCTTGTGACTTCAAACCACATCGCTCTTATTTTTGGGAATAGAGCAGGCGTGACGGGTTTTTCTTTTTTTTTGTTATGTCCGTTTCGGCCTTCGCCGTTCACCAACGCAATGTGAGCTGAGTAAAAAGTGTTCGGTAGCGACGGCTGGAACAGCCAGCCGAGATGAGCAGAAAGTCTGTGTTGTGTTTTCTCTCCGAGCCCCTGCTGAGGCGTCGCGGCTGGCAGCAACGCCAGCAGAAAGCGTCCCATGATCGGCCTTGATCAGCTTTGTCACACAATCGGGCCTTAACAAATACTTTGTGAGATTTCACCCTGACGCGGGTCAGATTAGAAACCCTGACCTGCTGCAAACACGAATGCTAAACCGTTTCCTCACTGACCTGCATCCGTAATCAGGGCTATATGCTGTGCAAATCCTATTTCTGTGATTCTAAAGTGACATTTATGTGCACATCTGTTATCTTTCGACCTCCGGTGTTTTTATTCCCAGTGCTGACGTCTCTATCTGCAGTGACATACGTTTCTACGTAATATCTCTATACAGTTATGATGCTTCTACAATACCTGTCAACATAATTCTGCCACAAATGATGACGCCTCTGTCCTTGCTGATGTTCTCTATTGAATACTTTTTTCACAGATACATTCACACTGCGCAGAGTGTATTTTTACCCGGATGACTCATTCTGTAAGTCAAATCAAAATGCAACCCCAGTGGTCGAGCCAAGATCACGTTCTGGTTATGGTGCATATGCAACTTGTGTTTATTCATCACACAGATGATAGGACTCATATGCTGTTGGTCATTTCGACCCACGGGGTGTGGAGAGGGCGTCAGACGGAGAGGTGGAAAAGTCTACAAATTGACTAGGATTTGAGAACCTAGCGTGCAGTAACTCAAGGTCAAAAGCAGAGAGCGCAGCGATAACTCGGCGCCTCCGGGATCCTCTGCTACGGTTGGGAGGAGGAACCCTGGACTATTCTCTTTTTAAAATGACATTGACGCGTTTGTGCAAATTGTCTCTGGTGTACTCGTACATCTCAATCACGAGTTGGTTCATCTGCCGAGTCGATGTTGGGTAGCAGCGACCTTTGTCTTGGTGGGCCTGCCAGCAACGGCACGACATCCGTGACCGGGAGGCCTGACTGTGACGGCGTTTGTGGTCCCGGGGGAAACGCATCGCAGCTGGGGAGCAGCCGCGGGCGAACAGCCTGTTAGACGACAGGACTGCAGTGGAGCTCAAGACTAAAGACACAAAATGATTGGTTGAAATTGGTTGGTACTACTTTTGGAAAGCTCGGGTCCTATTTTGTTTTAAGGAGAGAAGGATTTTGATTTTTTTTTTTAAACACCGAAATTCATTTCAAATACATATTTCCATATATTGAGAGTTGTTAAAAGTGCATTCGTCCTTTTTTCTTCACTTTAATGCGACACTTGGTATCAGGGGATGGGAAAGATGTGTGTGATAGCAGATAGTACATATTTTAATTTTCCCAGACAAACACTAAGTGTCCCAAGTACTGCTGCCTCTGTGTGACTCAATCATCGTCTCATGTGGGACCCTGTCTGAAAATGTTCAGCAGTACTTACATTAAAGCTCCATTTAGACAGCGGGTAAAATAATTCAAACAGAGCGACTGCTGGTAACGGTAAAGGAAGTGATCAATCTCTTGAGAACAAACAACAGAAGTGCCTACTGAAAGGCGAGGAGGCAACGGGTTGGCTTTTACCGGAAGGGTGCTGTGCTTTATTAAAACCCACATCAAAACCCACCACGTTTGAAACGAGTATATATACTGCAGGCCTGTGGAGCGACCCGGCTTCCTTCCTCTATCGTCTGAGGATCTGATGGCTGCCGTGACCATGCTGCTCTTTTATCGGTTGCTTCAGTGGTCCAACTGCATTGAGCTGGGAAATCTGACCGATAAATTGACTGGTGTTCAAAACTTTCGACAAAACTGACTCATGTGCTCGTCCTACCAAAATGTCGACTGAGCCTTGTCGCGCTTGCTGATCTACGGACAACAGGACTGAGAAGATGCAAGCTGCGGGTGCATCGCACTCTGCTCAATTGAGGCGACTGAATCTGTTACATCAGGCACCAGCTAGATTAACTATAATGCAATTATTAAATGATGCCACGTACGTAACACCCTGCTTTTCCAATGAGACTTTTCAGGTTTAGAAAAGAGGGCGTCTTTCTATGTCTTTCTATGTCTATGTTATACTATGTCTACTATGAGAAGTTCAAATTAACAATGGGAATGTGATTCCCTTGAGGGCAAAACTCACACAAGTCTGCAGCGTCCGTCACAGACTTCCCCACACCCGGCTTTCCTTATCCTGCACCGGTGCTGCGGGGTCTTACTTTCGGTTCCCCTCTGGGGATCCAGAAAACAAATGCCGGAGCCGTGTGATAACTGAACAGGACGAAAGGCCACAGCGCGAACGCAAGGCGCAGGCCTGGACCCGAGGGGGTTTGTAAGACAGAAAGCCTCCATCACCATGCTGCACACACCCACCAGCTCACGGGAACCCGGGGAGGAAGTCGCAGATGGTGAAATAAGGTGTTAAAACATAACAGGCACGGCCTTCTAAAAGCAGAGAGGTCTTTCTCTTTGTGGAGGGCTAACGGGAAGTGATTGCAGGCTGTACGAAAGGGGAGGTGACCTTATAAAGAGGGGTCGGAGGCATACGTGAAGACTTACAATAGACACAGAGTCGTGTGAGGGGATACGTTTTGGTGTGAACCACGAGAAAAGGTGCAAAAATATGGATTGCATTTGTCTGATACAAGTATCGTTCAAAGGCTAAAGCACCTGTGCAGTAAATAATAGAAGGGAGAGGGACACAAACAGAAGACCTGTTGGACACACAACAACATGAGGTTTGCTAATGTTTATCCTCTAGAAGCTTCTGGTCACACCAGGTCACACCAGACCAACCTCCGGGTGTATTCAACCAAGTACGGGTGTAGTTCACAAGAATTTAACTTTTCATTTTTGAGAGGAATTATGTGTTATTTCTCCATTCAGAAATCAAATAATGTCTTTTTAATGTATGAATATTTAGGTAACTCTGTCTGTAATGCGCACCATTTCATGGAGGAGACACCGCTGTGGTTTATTTGAAAGCAAATGGGCTCCACGTCTTTGCGGCCTCATGCCGTCATTGTGAGAGGTTATTGAACGAGCCCACATAGATCAAAGGGGTCTCTGTGCGGTAACAGCAGCTCCGGGATCAGAGCTACGGCAACAACAGGCCTTCAAATAGTGCACCTTCCACCGCCTTCGTGAGGGACGTCAAGATCCAGACATCCACCGATCAGTGTGTCCTCTGTGCGACTTAGTTCGAGGTTCATCTAATGAGGCAATTTAGACAAGCAAATGGCCTCGTCATGGTGAGATGCTACTCGGAGACGAGCTGATTTTTGGTCCACGTTAAACAGTGACTTTTCCTACTGAACGAGAATATACACCAGAATAAATATCAAAAAAATTTATTCGAAAAACGCTCTAACTTTGTCAACCCACAAATAATCATATTTTTGATTACGATCTTCATCCGCTTCCGCAGAAATCAAATCTCAATATTATCTAAATGTTCGCGGGTACATAATATTATTTGATTAACAGAGTTGTTGAGTGAAAGAAAATGTGGGTCTATGTGAAACTATTATTTGATTTCTCTGTTTTAAATTTGTTTTAGGCCTGTTGGTCGGGCAAATCAAAAAGACAGATAAAGTCCCCTTGGACATTTGGAGACTTGGAAATATACTTCTTTTCCACTTTTCTGTCATTCTATTGAGAAATGGTTAATCATTCATGAAAGTGAATTTTGCAACCCTAAAAAAGATTATTCCAACAATTAACCTTTTAAAAAATCTGCTCCAATCAGGCCTTAAATCAAAGCCATCGCTATCACCTCGGTCACTTAGAAAGGATGAGGACAACAGCTGGACGCCTACCACGTCCGGTGAGCACAGTGACTTCTGGGAGTCCCAGACTCCCCCCTCCCCCCCGTGATGTAGTGACCCACAGGCTACAGTCTCTCACCTTTGAGCAGGGGCAGCGGAGTGAGCTCCACCTGGGAGCTCTGGTAGCGGAACTGGGACGAGCTGTGGGACCTCCTCTGCCGGGCTCGGCGCATCGACCTCCTCGGGAAGCCGTCCACCTTCTCCGCGGACGGCACCGAGAAGCTGGTCGTCGGCGAGGACGGGCTGGTCGGAGGCAGCTTGGTTGTCTCCATGATGGCTGGAGGTGGTGGTGGTGATGCGGTGCCTGTGCGTGCGTGCGCAGAGGGGGGCGCTTGAGAGGATATATGGGCGAATGGATGAGAGGACGCTGGAACGGGTGAAGGAGTGGGTGGTTTTTTTCTGAATCACAGGCGGATTATCAATTTATCAGAATGAACCAAAACTCCGGAGTTGTGGAGGAAGACCAGGAGGCGGAGGAGGGGCAGGGGGGGTGAGGGGGAGGGGGGGGGGGTAAAGGGGCGAGGGAGGGAAGGTGCGGAGGGGGTAGAAGGTGCAGAGGCGGAGGAGAGGGATTTTCGAGATGTCCAGTACCGTGCTGTGCGCCTCGCTGTCTCTATCAGAGCCGGACAGGAAATGGCAGCGGCAGCATCAGCATCAGCATCATCATCATCCCCGACTCTTCTGTTTATTTCACGCACAGACAAAAAAATCGCGTGCGTATCATCCCCGTGGAGGAGTAGCCCGTGCAGCTACCAAGGGATGCTCAGACAGGCGCGTCTCCCCCTCTTTCTCTCTCACACACACACACGCGCGCGCGCGCGCGCCTCTGCTGCTGCTGCTGCTGCTGTATTGGCGTCACACGCTCACGGACTAAGTCATCGGCCTATATTTGTAGATGTGCTGCAAGAAATTGTGCTCCTCCGGCAAAGAAAGCACCGTGATCAAACACAGATTAACCTCCTCTTGTTTATCCACGCTCAACAAAAAAAAACGGCACCCAGGTCAGTTTATAGCGTATTTCTTCTCCCAAATGCTCCTTATCAATGCGATCAGTGATCGGTCCTGGCGGTGGATGATGATATCATAAAATCATCAATCTGGGCCCACCTCGGCTGCCGCATCACTGTTGTCCTTCTCGCTTCTTTTATTTTTTATTTTTTTTAAACGGACGCGTCTCTCGACCGCACCTGCTTCTTTCTTCTTCTTCTTCTTCTTCTTCTTCTTCTTCTTCTTCTTCTACTCCCTCAGAGGTGGAAAACGTTGTTTATTTTTCTCCGCGCTGTGAACCCCTCCAAGACAAACCCTCCTCCTCCGAGTCCGTGTCAGGGCGGAGGGAAACAAACGCTCCCTCACCGCGCAGACATGTGCGGGTCCTCCGCCGCGCCGAGCCGAGCCGAGCCGCTCTGCGTCTCCACCTCCGCGGCGAGACAGACACCAGAAGCTGGGTAGATTATTATTATTTTTGGGTTTTTTTTTTTAGAAAGACTGCAGGGCCGCGTTATACAATAGCACCCCGTCAACGTCTGTCGGACTGACGCGTTTTGCTCCTCTTCCCCCTTCTCGGTGCCCGTTATCCGGTTGTCCTACAGCGCCTGAGCGAGCCACGTCAAGGTGCGCGAGGTGAGTCACGGACAGACAGGAAGTTAAGCATCGCTCCCTTCAAAATAAAACAAGGGATAGAAAAAAGAGGGGGGGGGGCTCGGTGCTCGTACAGTAGAATCAAGCGTGTGCACAAATCAAGCATTTTTCGTAAAAGGTGTTCTGGTCCTTTTACCTCAAAATGGATGCGATGGCTTTAATCGTGGCAGTTAATCGAAGGGCCCCGTCAAAGGAGGATTAATACATTTACCACTGTCGCCTCCATTGCTGCTAATCCTGCATTGAATGGGTTTATTAAAAAACGAACACGAACAGTTAAAAAAACTCAGTTGTTACCTTCTTTCCACCAACAGAGCATTCAAATTGTATAAGTTGGTCTGGGCATTCTCATAATTGTATTCAATGCAGCGCAATAACACTTTACAATAAATCATCTCTGGCTAAATAATGACAATAACAACCTTGTACTGCTGTGATGTTGCTGCTCTTCCTCCTCCTCTTCTCCTTTTACAAATTAGTATTGTCTCTTTTGAAGGTTATTCTTTTGTTTAGTTTACTTAGTTTAATTTAATTTAATATTTTTTATCTTATTATATTGTATATAATGTGTATATTTTTATTCTACTCTTAGTTCCCTGTACATGCTGCGATAACAAAATTTCTCTTTTGAGGGATCAATAAAGTATCTATCCATCTATCTATCACTCCTTCAATAGGCTGTGTAAGTATATATTTGAAAAGTCAAGAAAGAGAAATGTTATGCAGTTATTTTAGAGAGTTATAGAAGGTAAGACTTAACCCTGAAAAAATGCGCCCCTCAGTAAGAGAAAGAGTCGAGATCATCTGTTAAAACCGTTGATCTGAAAATGGACAAAGAAAGTAACTGTAAAAATACGTTGTCATGTTGTTGAAAACAAAACAAAAATTGAGTTAAAAAAAATTGAACCGCTGGATCAAGTGGTTTTCCACTCAAAATGTTCGCTTTACCTATGTCAGAGAAGCTATTGTTTATATTTGACACATACTGTCTTTTGATCGGAATTTTCCTGGTATTATGCAAAAAATCTTTGTTTAAGAAAACGAAAACGTATTTTCATACAGTCCTGAATTATAGTTAGTTCCTCCACACAGTTGATATAATCACATCAGAGTACCCTTCCGAGAACTTGTTCAGGGAATAGAAGACACCAGGATCTTTAGTCCCCATCACATCGGAATAAATATCAGCTGTGCCATCCTTGTGTCGGTGCAGAAATGTCTTTGAAGCACCTCCACGTTTTATTTTGAAAGCGGTGACCGGATGCCAACTGCTCCTACTGCGACAGCCTTGCCGCTGGTTCCTCAGCCCAAACGGTGGTGCAAGGAGGGAGAGGAATGAGGCTCCTTAATGCGGATGACGCTATAGGATGGATTTATTTATTTATTTGTTCGCCTGTATCCATGTGGCCTGAAGCATGTTAAACCCAGTGCAATATGAATATGCATCACCAAAAGCCTCCAAAGCGTAACCTCTGGCTTCGGTCTCATCCGATTATGAAATATCACCCTTCTTCTCCCCGGCAGCGCGTCGCTCACCAGCCTTTCTGTCCCCGACACCCCCATTCCTCCCTCTCCCTTTCACCCATTTCCCTCGCTTCCTATTTGGGGTTCTCAGAACAACCACATCCCATCCCGGGCTTATCATTTTATATTCAGCACAAGGGCGTGCGTAATACCGCGCGCCTGCGCCACATCTCCATCCTCCTCCTCCTCCTCTTCCTCCTCCTCCTGCGCGCTGTGTCGCAGATGAGCTCAGCTGGAATTGCCTCTTGGGGGAAAAGACACCCGGGGGACCGGCGCTCCGGTAAGTGTCTAGGAGCGCTTCTGGTCTGCCCGTCACATCACCACCAGAGGCTGTTAATGCTGCACTCCGACATTTAGACTCACTCTGGTTAACAGCCATCCGCTATTCTGTTGTAGACTACTTCCTAGCAACTTCTTCTGGAGCATTTCAGTGCAAAGCCCTCCCCAACCTGGCGGTGGCGCTGATAGATCAGGGGACCACCTACGTCACAACGCACGTCTTCTGGAGACCATGAAACCAAAGGGCGGTGGGACATTCCAATCGGAATAGAACACATCCGTGATGGCTGCAAATCCGGTGGTTGCACACGTAAGAAACCAGTAGCACCGTTGATGAAAAGTGTGTTCTACTGCTAATTAGTTCAACCCTTTATTAGTAAGAATAGCCATGTATTTTTTGTTCTTTGAAATGTTACCAAAGCTTCACAATATTAGTTAAATATGGTACATTAGAAGATTAAAATGGCCTACAACAGCAAAATAAAAATAGCATCAATAGAGTGTTTCAGAATGTGTTTTATTTGTAATTTCTATTGAAAACAATAGTATATCATAAATATAATAATTAAATGCTTATGAGATACCAAACAGTCCCAAAACTCACACACTCTCACAGCATCACATGGGGGAAAAAAACTTCTGTGTGGAGTACACAGTGTAAATAAAGCAAAATAAGCCACAAAAAACATCAACGTCTTTGTGTGAATATAATTACAGTGCAAAAGTCCAGATATAAATTATATTTAGAAATGAGATACAATCCACGATTCATTTCTCTACAGCTGTATACTTCCTGTGTACAAAAGAGTTGAGCCGCTCAATGTTCTATCATTGTCAGTTACAGAGAGAAATTACGTTATTTCTCTCACTTGCCTCACTCTAACTTAACACAATAAGGGAATTATTAATTACATGGTTCAGAACCACCGAGGGGAGGGAGGTTTATGGGTGTGTGGGCCACAAGGTGTCCCATATATTCTCCCTTTATTTGTGGATCAACCATTATCGGGTCACCGGCGAAGAAAAATGAGCCGTGAGCACTTTTTAACACGGTTTAGTACTCAAATGTTTGTGAAAATTGACTTTGATAGCCAAACTGTTTGAAATTCGTTGAATCCACAAACCTCAGGAAACTCATTCCAGCTGGTCACATTTGGCAAATTTCGCCTTATGGCATTTCCTTGAAGTTGCAAGGAAGTGAGCACTCCATCCGCTCTAAAAACGTACGCATAACTTGAAATTGTGTTTGGTTTACAGATTAAGGAACGAATAGTGCTGAGTGATCTCAAACTGAAAGATTGCATGACGATGGATTTTATAGTATAGTTCAAGGGATTCATTAAATGCTCACTGTACAGAATGTGTTGGAGCCTCCCTGTCTAAAGGGAAACGCGAGGCGTCAAATTTAGAAGAGGAAACCTACGTTACAGACTTGGAGGAGCTTGAAGGCCACGGCCTCTTACAAGCATTTGACTTAAAGAGGTCATATGTTGCATTGTGGGAATGCAGGGTTATTGGAACCTGACCCCTAAACGTTGAGATATTTCTGCCTGAGCTGTGACCATTTGCTCCTTAACTTGGTTAAAGCCCACCCACGGCTCACATACATCCCAACAGAGGCATGAATCCATCAGGTTGAATCTTTCAGTGGCTTTTTTTGTTCTTTAAGTTTGATTAATTAGATGTAGAAATATACAAATTAAAAACTATTTGGGCTCAAGGAAACTGGTCTTCCTTTGTCTCATCGACATGTAGTGCTACTGGTGAATGGACCCACTCAGTATCCAATCATTGACCTCCAGGAGCTCAGAAAGGGAGAGATCTCTCGAGGTGTCCCCCAACGGTGGCAGTGAGGGGGGGTTCTGCAGGACTGGTTCATCGAAGCTGCTGGAGGTAGTCTGAGACATGTAAAGGGCGCTCGGAACAGTGAGCATGGAAAGCAGAGGGCCACAACTCAGCGTGGCTTGTTGTCCATAACTTGGCTCCGAGGCCAAAAAAGAGAGGGGGGGCGTCCCTGAGCGAGACTGAGGAGAAGGATCTTGAAGAGTTGGCGGTAAAAGAGAACACGACACGCCGGAAGTCCGTGAGACTTTGCTGAACGGACCGGGACAAAGCTGGGACGCAACCGGCGGATAGCGCGGGTCGAGGGGACCTCCAGGAGAGGGAGCATAAAGGAAAGATGCTTGAGTCGATAGAAATTCGTCCAGCGCCCCGGGGTGAAGGGGGCTGAAGTGAGCATTCGCCGGCGTGAAAGAGCTCGCGTGGACGCCGCCGGACCTCGAGGGCGAACCGTTCGTCGGCCTGGATGAGACGATGGGAGGGGGATCGCTGCTAAACAGAGAACCTTCAGAGAAAGGGGCGGAGCTGGAAGCCGTCACAGAGCCGGAGGAGGTGAAGGGTTCGGAGGAGGTGAAGGGTTCGGAGGAGGTGAAGGGTTCGGCGGAGGTGAAGGGTTCGGCGGACGCGCCGTGACGCAAGTCCAGAGCTGCGCTGGTTGGCGGAGGGGGATTTACAAAGGGGAGCTGTGTGCTTTCAACGCAGTCACGGGTTTGGACACCCAGGCGGGAGGTCAAGGAGTGAGAGAGTGAGGGGGCAGGGGTGACCGCAGAGCGCGGGGCCCCGGAAGGGCCCCCGGGGGGGCTGGAGGGGGAGACCGCGGGGCGGCCTGTCGGGTTTGACGCCGAGTCTCTGAGGCAGCAGAAAGGCTTGTGGCGCTCCAGAGCTGTGGTGTAGAGGTGGAGGTCTTTCTTCAAGGCCGCTATCTCCTTTTTGATGGCCGAATTGGCTCGCTCCATGCACTGGAGCTCCTAATGACAAGAGGGCGGCGGGGAACAGGGATAAAGGGCAACACAAGAAAAGGAGGGAGAAAAACCGTTAGTTGTGCAATGTCTGTCTTTATTATCACAAAGACCAGAACATCTAAGCCATAAAAAATGATAACAGACATACATCAGAAGACCTCCCGCACACACTACAGCCAAGCAATACTCATGACGACTTTAGGACGCTTCTGTAATAGAAAGAACAACCAGGGAGTTGATGCTGCGCGGCCAAAGTCGGAACCTCAAGGGAGAACTGAAATATTGCGCTAATGTGACGGTACTGCAAGTTCAGCACAACAGGGGAGAGCAGGTGGTGGAGGGAGTTAAAAACTTCTATTCGTACAATCAAATTGATGAAACCGTTCCTCTTCAGAGTTTCTAGAATGAGTTTCTCCTGGTTTATCAATATAAAGTCTCACTTTTATGGCTTTGTTACGCTCGGCTGTTCATCTCCATCGAGCCCCAGCGACTGCAGGCCCGGGCTTGAACAACGCTCAGAAGAACGCCGTCTCCCTTCTGAGAGATTACATTTCTGCAAAATTCCCCCAAGGTCAGAGAGGTCACAGCCAAAGACGCGGCCCATACGACGCTGTGAATACGCCCGTGAAACTTTTAAACCGGGGTTGGAAACCCATTTATTGTCTTTTGTCGCCGAGCGGGCACCCCCTCCCCCCCCCCCCCCACGGCGGGCGGGATCTGGCCCGCAGGCCGTATGTTTGACACCCCTGCTTTAAACCGTGAACCGCTGACTCCGTTTTTCAGTGATACACGGCCACGCCGCTCCTTCAGAATGAACCCGAAGGAGCAGAACTGAAAGAGAAGAGAGAGAGAGAGAAAGCGAAAGTCTGGAATCCTTCCAACTGAGAGGACACGCACCCACTCATGGCTATGGAGGAGAAACAATCGTCGCTTCCAACGCTCACCAAGACAGCAAATAAGAGCAGTCTGCTAAATGTTAAACTAATCCTTTGAAGCCAGGGTTTTATTAGTCTGTAAAAGTCATTTCATTTGGCAATTGTTCAAATTTTAGTATTAACATTAGTCATGTTGAATTCATTTACTTTTTAATCTAACATACAACTTGTTGGATTGTCAACATAATAATCCCAGCTTTAGTGTCATTTCTGTGGTGAATATCATCAACAGCGAAACAAATGTTAACACAAACCTTCATATCACCCAAAAAGTACTAACTATTATCAAACACCACATTGGTACAAAACGCCATTCAAAGGAATGACTGAATTTATATAGGATGGAATTATTAAGCAATAAATACATTTTAAAATCAGGACAGTAAAAGTTGTCCCTGGCGCGAATAAAAAAACAGACCCAGTTGTGTGAGTGTGTGTGTGTGTGTGTTTTCTGACTAGGAAGGGAGGGTGAATGGGAGGAAGGCATACCAGAGGGAGTGGAAGCGCTTCTCCTAAAGCAGAGTGTTTACAAGAAACGGCTGCGGGCGCAATGGCAGATTACACAAGATACACGCACTACTGGTCCCGTCGCCTTTCAGGGGGGGGGGGTTGAAACGGAAAACTGAGTAAGCGGGTGATGGTGTGAGAAAAGGAGGGTGAGGCGAGGGGGCACGGAAGGAGGGACTTTCTCTGACCTCGTGAAGTTCGTCGGCTCTCTCCGTTTGCTTCCTGCGGCTCTTCCTCGCAGCGGTCTTGTTGTTCTCTTGTCTTATTCTCCCTCTGCCACCCGCCCGTCGTCCCCCCTTTTCTCTCTCCTTTAGGGAGGAATGCAGGAGACACAGACGCATCTGGGATTTATTAGTCTGTATGGGATTTTGTGCCCACTTGTCTGGTGGCATCCCCTACTGCCTTTTAAGGAATCTCTTTTCACAGTGGAAACTTGTTTAATGTTTTCATATTGCATGATGTTTTTTAGAGGGCCCATAGTCCATAAGGTCATGAGATAAACCGATCACATGAAATTGCATGTGATCTCTTAATTAAAGCGGAAAGTTGTTGCGTTGCAGTTTATGGATGTTAAAATAAAAGTGAACCGGCATTAAGCTTACCAAGCTCTTCAGGTGGCATCCAACTAGTTATTGCACGTGTGTGACTCCAAAGGACGGTCTAAATTAAATGTTTATCCAAAATTCCCCGTCGCCTGTGCTGAAAACGGTATCACTTTGCATATTTGGTATTTTCACACGAGTTCGGAGCGATGCACAGTGACTGCATGCAAACTCAACAGGAGCTGTGTCAAATGGGGGTGCGCCCCTCTCAGTTAAACAACTAAAACGGTATTCATTGAATTAAAATAAATAATGACTGAAGTAATAAAAATCCAAGGAAAGCTTTATCTCTACTGTTAGCGCAGAGACTTCTGTGCATACAGAAATAGTCTTTTAGTGTTCTAGCTGAAGCGACAATCGTTATCAGCACAGTGTAATAACTGTTAACTATTCTAACGCCCCATGTATTAGAACAGAATGGTAATGTTGGGAACTCTGAGATACAATGCATTTTATGCTTTTTTAGACCGTTTTTAGGAGTTTGATATTTTAAGTATTGTTGGACCTTTCGTGCCTTTATTAGATGACATAAATACAATTATTCAGAGTTAAACTGGGCTTTTGGCAGACGCAGCATACGACAGTCCTCTTGAGCCACAAGAAATAGAAAAGAAATTCTCTAATATTACTAATAGAGATTTTATGTTTATCTAAAGGTGTGTTCTGATTGTAATAACGTGAATTTATTTGTAGCCCATTTTTTCAAACGAATTGCTACACATAACACACAACAAGCCATACTTAAAACTGAGCTACAGCTATGAGGGCAATATACTTTCTATAACAAATAAAGTGATTCTTGTCTGGTATTGACCAACAAGGGGAACGAGGAGTTTACTCACCGATCCAGCGGTGTTGCTGGCACCTGACGGCTGTTTAGGTCCAACCCTGTTTAGGTCCAACCCGGACTCCATGAATAACGGGGGCATCTCTTGCCCCCCTTCTGACTGAGCGTCGACCGGCAGGATGCACCTACTGCGAGATCGGGTCATCCGTGCTGCGCGATCACATGCGAGACCGGTGCCGCGAGACCGGTTGAAGGTGACGCATAACAAGCGCTCCTCTGCAGCTCGGGGTTAAACGGGCAGAGACGCTTCCGTGGGCGCGTGGACATCCGGACGGTGGGATTACTCCTATGAGCCCTTTGGTATCAGACAGCCAATGATGCAACATGATGCTGCGACTGCTTTCAGTTTCTCTTTATTTTAAACTGACCTGTTGCAAGGCAAAGGACTGCGGGAGGTGGGGGGGCAGTGCTGCCTTCACGGGTAGTGTGTTAGTTCCGGTGTCGACATCTTTACTGGTAAAGGAGGCGCCTAAACGAGGAGGATGACTGATCTCCTGTTTGGTTTTCTCAAGAAGAATAGAACATAAAGCAAGAATAATCAATATTAGCAAATATAAGTGCATTGCACTTGAAGGTAATTGTTTGTATTTTTCCGTCTAATGTTGGTTTGGATTTAATAACTTGGATACTGTGTCAAATATCCACATATAAGTGGGTCCCAATTTTAAACTAGTATCTGAGTTCAGAATAGTAATATTTCCGATAGCACATGAAGGCATCATGACAAATGAAAATGAAAAGTTGGCACACGAAGAAGGTTGGGCCCCATTCACGTGCAGGGGATTTTTCAAACGCTTTTGCCAGGAAATGAATGGTCAAGCCCTCAGGCAGCGGTCTACAGGTCCGCTCAAAGTTCATCACACATGGCTCTCTTTTCGACCACTCTAAAAGTTGTGAGTATTTGTGTATTCAAACTAGAAACTTGATAACACCAGGTACATCATATATATCCTTAGAAAATCTATATAAATGTATTACACAATTATGTTAATATGGTATTGTGTGTCAGTGCTTACACTATAAGTAGCATAGCTCAGGAATATGATTGACTTGATTAGACATACAATTAAGATCCAGAAAAACATGTAAAAGGCATAGGATTTTAGGAAGTTGGGGGACTGTTAAATATAGTTCCAGCTCATATGTGTTTGGATACGCATGTGGTTGCGTATCCATGTGGTTGCGGGAGGAAATACCAAGATTACTTACATCAAACACATGTAATTCCCACAACAGACACACGGGGGGACTAAACCCAAACGAACAGCGCGTCACACTATGGATTGCACAACGACCAATGAAACAGCTTCGAACGTCTCCAACAACCAATCAGCGTTCGCTCCTCGACACGAAGTCCAATGGTTGGCTCCGTGGGGCGGGATTAGCATTGCAACCTCTTCCGGATACGACATGCTCTTCATGGATGCTAAACATCATTCATAACAACACTACAAATCCGTAAAAAGAACTTCTCTATTATAGCCGCAGTTGAAAGCCATACTGTGACAATGGGTTTGCTGACAATTTTAAAGAAGATGAAGCAGAAGGAGCGGGAGATGAGGCTGCTGATGTTGTATCCTGCTTGTAATTTTACTAGCTTAATGCTAGCTGGAAACAAATGCACGTTAGCGTTCATCTACCAACGTTATTTTAACTTTCACCCGCGTCCATAACGTGAGAGATGCACGTCGCAATCGCCGTCAGCGCGCGGGGTTCGATAACGACAGAGATGGTTGGTGGTAAACTGAATCTGGGTACATTAGTAAAGTCTGAGTCAGATCAGGACATTTAAAAGTGAGGAGTGTGTGTGTGTGTCTGTATCTTCTTTAACCCGAGACGTGCAGAGGTCTGGACAATGCGGGGAAGACGACCATCCTGAAGAAGTTCAACGGAGAAGACGTGAGCACCATCTCCCCGACGCTGGGCTTCAACATCAAAACGCTGGAGCACAAGGGGTGAGTGCGGGGACGCGCTGCTGTGACGCAACGTGCACAACCCTTCATTTCTTCATGGTCAAATTTCAATCATGACGGTCAGCCGAAAGAGAAGAGTGTGGCTTTCTGCTATTAAGCACCCCCCCCCCCCCCCACATTGAGGCATTCGTGTATTCTTCTAATGTTCCAGGATGTAGTTCCCCCAGGCTTCCTCCACACTGATGTTCTCCACTCTTGTTTTTCAAGGTTTAAGTTGAATATCTGGGACGTTGGGGGTCAGAAGTCACTGCGCTCCTACTGGAGGAACTACTTTGAGAGCACAGACGGGCTGGTGTGGGTGGTGGACAGCGCAGACAGACTCCGGGTGGAGGACTGCAGACGGGAGCTCAGTGCACTGCTGCTGGAGGAGGTACGTGCGCGCACACACCCACAGAGGCACATGTTGGGTGTAGTCAAAGACTGCTAGCGATCACTGATGAATCATCCTACATTGTTTGAAGCAGGTATCTATGATGCTGTGTGGTTTGATCTTTAGGCTACATAAATCTCTAAAGTTGAGTGTCCTCTCCTCCATGCAGAGGTTAGCCGGCGCGACACTGCTGGTATTTGCCAACAAACAGGATTTACCAGGAGCCCTGTCGAAGGAGGCTATACGAGAGGTAAGGTTTAACACGTTATTTTCTTCATTGCTGCGATAGTCCTGTCCTTCTTGAATCATGCAGAAGCTGCACATGACAGTGTTGTCGTTGGGTTCGTTGTAGGCACTGGACCTGGATGGGATCAAAAGTCATCACTGGTGCATCATTGGTTGCAGCGCCGTCACAGGAGAGAATTTGTTAGCTGGAGTGGACTGGCTGTTGGATGATATCGCTGCAAGGATCTTCACCACTGACTGAATGTTTGAGCAGACACGACTCCCGGCTCAGCGGACTGTTCTGATCCAGAGCGCAAATGTATTTATTCAATCAGCTGGTCAAAGTCAAACATGAATGAGCTGTGTGTATTAAACCGGGTTTATACCATTTTTTTCTTTCGTTTAATATTGCCACTTAGGATGCTCAACAGAGTGGAGATTATTTGCAAAATGTAAGAGGCCTAATTGAGGCTAAATGTGTGATCCCTGACACCATGTTCTACATTTCAATAAAGATCAGTCATTATGGAACCCATGGGAACTTAATATCCCATACGATTTTTGCATTAGCAAACTAGTCTTGTCAAATTCTTTGACTTTTCTGGAATTTGAGCCACTATCGTATTGACCTCTTAAGGTTTTACTGACCACTGAAACGTTTTTAAAGTTTAAGCAGATACATAATATGCACCGCTGTTAATTGTTGCCCAATTTATTATGTGAAACATTTCAGAAAATGTTTTGTACTGTTTAAGAAATGACATTCCCAAAGCAGCTTAAGTGTCAAGTATTTTTGAAATCTGGAGCTAGAACTTCAATTTACATCATCCTGCAGTTTGGGTATTGTTCACCAGTTTGCTAGAGCTATATTTGAATAACTGGATTGTTCAATTGTCATTAACACCCCAAAAACACAAGTGGGGAGATTGGAGTCAACACAGCCATCTGTCAAAAGCATGTTGAGCCCATTTAACATAGTTTAGTTAAAAAGGGGATATGGTCAAACTTATTTGAGCCTTTTTAGTGATAAGACATGACACATCTATCACATACAAAATAAGCATTTATATGGGTTATTTGGTTTTATTGAGACCACTGTCTACCCAATTAGTGAAATTTAAGTTAACATTCAGGTTTAATCACTTTGTAGTTACTTTGTGTGGCACTACAAACACATTTCAAGATTTTTAAGCAACAGACGTCAAGAATAGATTGAAAGTTTATATGAAGTCAAACACAAAAGCCTTTGCATAATAGTTTAATATTCCATGTATAAACTTCTGAAAAATCCATTGAGATTTTAAAAATCTTTCAGCAGCATCACAACTGCTGACAAAGTCCACGGTTTGAGCCACGCTGCAAAACAACATTTTAGAAACGAAGTATGAGCGTAATCAAATCTTAAGCCATCGTTTTGATCAGAGAGGTACCAATCAGTCATGAAATCTCAGACTGGGGGGGCAATTAATCACTTCTGATGGAAATACTCCCATACATTAAGTGGTAAACGTTTACCTTCAACCCCAAAGCAGATCAACCTCTGAAAAGTTGAAACACAAGAGTCAGAAAAATGAACACAAATAAAAGCCAGTTTAGTTTGCGTGCCATCGTTTTATTGGTAATCACAAGAAACTCAAATTCATGAAGAAACATTTAATTCAATGTTTCTCGTTTACCTGCAGCAATTGAGACTTGTTCCTGTCTCCACCATCCAGAGTAAGAATCCCCATCCCTGCAACAAGATTTAAACAATCCAGTTTATGACAAGGCGGTTAAAACACATAGCTCAATCAGAGTTAACCAGCTCAATCAGAGTGAACCAATCAGTCATGAATTCTCAGACTGGGGCGGTAATAAATAACTCATCACTTGAGAACTGTACTACAATGCAGGATTCGGTTTCTCAGTCTTGCCTTCACGGTCAGCGCTCCACCTCCATGGGACTCTGTCACTTTACACCCAACACAAGGAATACACATCTATCCGTCTACCTAAAACATTTAAATACTCATAATCTTACTATACATGCATCTATCTAGCTATACACAGTTCTATGTAAGTATTAACATCAAGCTATACAAACATCTGTAATAGTTGTATATTCCGTGACCTGAAGGAGGTTGTCAGGGTTCTCGGTGACAGAGTCAACAGTATGGGAGGCTGACTGGAGGACAACGCGGTGCCCGTCGACACAACTGAATGTCTACATCATGCAGTCAGATCCCCACATCTACTAGCAGCACAGTCACAACTGGATTTAGTCACATGCATGTTTGAAGTTTCCATTCAGACTGTTGGCGACACCAACTTTCCTTCCCCTTATTGCCAAGGCAACACCAGTGAGTCCACCTTTACAGGTTCTCATGTCATCACAAAGGAAACTAATGCTCCAGTGAAAGATTTAGATCACTCACCTGGACAAAGGCCATCAGCTTAACCGTTATCATCTTTTAGTCACCTGCAACAGACAACTGTCAGATCCGAGCAAAGACTTCCACTATTGTCGGTTGATGTTTACCGAAGTCAGTGATTGGATTGTCAACAGTAGTTCAGACGAACGAGACAAAATATGTAATTCGCAGCAGAACAAAGCGCCATTGGAGGCATTCCTCTAAAAGTGTAACTCACCATTTCCCAGACAACATCCATCATGGTGATGAGTCCATCATCTGTACGAGAAACAAACACATTTACTGCACATCCAAAGAACGTTTCCTAGGATGACTTATTGTTGTTTGATTAACCCGGTTTAGAAAACAGACTACAGTGCAGTCGCTCAGAAGTTCATGTCGTTTCACGTTGTATCAAAGTGAGCTAGAAGTATCATCATTGAAACTGCATTTAAATTAACTGGTATGTTGTGATGGGAAGCATCCACTGTCAACACAATCTGGACTTACAGGATTGCTTCTTGGTGACATCCTTTTTCAAACACTGGTTGACACCAACCTACAGGAAAAAGAAAATCCAGTTCTATAAATCCCATTAATAAAAATGACAGCCATTTATTTAACTACGGGCAATCAGATAGAAGGCTGACATCACAGAAATCAGGCATATGCTTGTCAATAAGTATACTCATCATGTTTAACCCCAAACCAGTGTGTGAATGAATGAATGAGGGTTTACTCACCATTGTGTTCTTCATTGGAAGAGTTCATTATGGGAACATTGCAGGACGACCTGAAGAGACATCCCAGTTAGCCATAAACTGAGACCTACACCCGAGATCGACGGTTTCCAAGGACTGATCAGATTACAACTTGGCATCACTGATATCAGGTATATGCTTGTCTTCTTGAATCATCAGTTCTGTCCCTTGGTGAATGTGACAGTTTATTGTAGTGTAAACAAAGTCTTTACTTGCATGATTGCTTCAAACACTAGTTGACAGCAACCAAATTCATGAAAAAACAAGTCAATGTTCTCATTTACCTGCAGCAATTAACACTCGTTTGTGTCTCCACTATGCAGAGTAACAATCACCATCCCTGCAAAAAGAAACAAGATTTAAACAATACAGTCTATGGAAGGTGGTGCAAGCAGGTCACTTCTAGTTTGATCAGATCACATCAAAAAGGAGCAGAGTGTAAAGTTGGGTGTCCAAGAGGAAGCACAATGTGAGGAAATTAGTTTCCTTTTATTACAAACTACGCTCACTGGCTATGAAGTTAAAGCAACATTTGTGTTTATTTGCAGAGTTAAGATTCACAAGACAACTTACAAGTCACTGGAATCCTGATGACTTCTAACTCAGTCCAGCATAAAAGGTTGACATCTAGAAAGAAAAAAAAAAAAAAATCTTCTCTTTCAACAACCTTTGTGCAGAGAACTTTTGCTAAGTAGTACTTGTTGTGGTCAGCAAACTTTTTCAGTTATTCCGTCCAAGTAACAAACTATTCACCATCATCAGAGCCCTTCAGGGAGCCGGAGATCACCTTACACCTGAAAGCTTGTTTCAGGGTTCTAAGTGTCTTACCGGGCCAACAGGGCGCCTGATGGGTAGGTGGAGATAGTGTGTTACCGGGAGGGTGAGCATGACTGGTGTCACCGATTCCATCACACCACAAGCAATAGTATTTTCACTGGTGGTTGAGATCCAAACGTACCATGATCCATATTTTGCTCGTCAGGCAGCTCGATCCTAAAGAGTAAAGACAGGGAATGTTTGGTCACTTTCACTACAGAGTTCATCAAGGAGCATCAGAAAGTCCAGTTCAATGAACTCATTCTGAGGCGCAAGACTTTAGATCACTCACCTGGACAAAGGTTAAGAAGCTGGCATTATCTTTCAAAGTCAGTCACCTGCAACAGAAGACAGTCAGATCAGAGAACAAAGAGACTTCCACTATTGTCGGTTGATGTTTACTGATGTCAGTGATTTGGATTGTCAACAGTAGTTCAGACGAACGAGATTAAATCTCATCATTCTCAGCAAAACAAAGCGCCATTTGAGGCATTCCTCTAAAAGTGTAACTCACCGTTTCCGACAACATCCATCATCTGTAGGAGAAACAAATAAGTTTACTGCACATCAAAAGGTTTCCTAGGAGGACTTTTATTGTGGTTTGTTTAACCGGGTTTAGAAAACATTACAGTGCAGTCGCTCAGAAGTTCATGTCGTTTCACGCTGTATCAAAGTGAGCTAGAAGTATCATCATTGAAACTGCATTTAAATTAACTGGTATGTTGTGATGGGAAGCATCCACTGTCAACACAATCTGGACTTACAGGATTGCTTCTTGGTGACATCCTTTTTAAAGACTCGTTCGTGTCTCCACTATGCAGACTAACAATCACCATTCCTGCAACAAGAAACACAATTTAAACAATCCAGTCTATGGAAGGTGGTGCAAGTAAGTCACACATCTAATTTGATCAGAGTAACCAATCAGTCATGAATTCTCAGACTGGGGCGGTAATACTCATCACATCAAAATGAGCATAGTGACGAAATTAGTTTCCTTTTATTACAAACTACGCTCACTGGCTATGAAGTTAAAGCAACATTTGTGTTTATTTGCAGAGTTAAGATTCACAAGACAACTTACAAGTCACTGCAATCCTGATGACTTCTAACTCAGTTCAGCATAAAGATTGATATCTAGAAAAAGAAAATAAAAATTATTCTCTTTCAATTATCTTTGTGCAGAGAACTTTTGTTAAGGAATGTAGTCAGCAAACTTTTTCAGTCATTACATCAAAGTAACAAACTATCCACCATCAGAGCCCTTCAGGGAGCCGGAGATCACCTTACACCTGAAAGCTTGTTTCAGGGTTCTCAGTGTCTTACCGGGCCAACGGGGCGTCTGATGGGTAGGCAGAGAGTGTGTTACCGGGAGGGGGAGGATGACTGTAAAGGAACTCAAGGTCATCACACCACAAGCAATAGTATTTTCACTGGTGGTTGAGATCCAAACATACCATGATCCATATTTTGCTCGTCAGGCAGCTCGATCCTAAAGAGTAAAGACAGGGAATGTTTGGTCACTTTCACTACAGAGTTCATCAAGCAGCATCAGAAGAAGGTCCAGTTCAATGCATTCAGATCCCCATATCTACTAGCAGCACAGTCACAACTGGATTGAGTTACATGCGGGTTTAAAGTTTCCATTCAGACTGTTGGCGACACCAACTTTCCTTCCCCTTATTGCCAAGGCAACACCAGTGGGTCCACCTTTACAGGTTCTGGCGTTAAACAGAGGCGTAAGACGTATGCGGATGTCATCACAAAGGAAACTAAATCTGAGGTTCAAGACTTTTAGATCACTCACCTGGACAAAGGTTAAGAAGCTGGCATCATCTTTCAAAGTCAGTCACCTGCAACAGACAACTGTCAGATCCGAGCACAAAGAGACTTCCACTATTGTTGGTTGATGTTTACTGATGTCAGTGATTTGGTTTGTCAACAGTAGTTCAGACGAACGAGACAAAATATTTCATCATTCTCAGCAAAACAAAGCGCCATTGGAGGCATTCCTCCAATTCCATCAAAAGGAAGTTTCATAGGATGACTTTTATTGTGGTTTGATTAACCCGGTTTAGAAAACACTACAGTGCAGTATCAAAGTGAGCTAGAAGTATCATTGAAGCAGCATTTAACTGGCATGTTGTGATGGGAAGCATCCACTGTCAACACAATCTGGACTTACAGGATTGCTTCTTGGTGACATCCTTTTTCAAACACTGGTTGACACCAACCTACAGGAAAAAGAAAATCCAGTTCTATAAATCCCATTAATAAAAATGACAGCAATTTATTTAAATAAAGGCAATCAGATAGAAGGCTGACATCACAGAAATCAGGCATATGCTTGTCAATAAGTATACTCATCATGTTTAACCCCAAACCAGTGTGTGAATGAATGAACGAGGGTTTACTCACCATTGTGTTCTTCATTGGAAGAGTTCATTATGGGAACATTGCAGGACCACCTGAAGAGACATCCCAGTTAGCCATAAACTGAGACCTACACCCGAGATTGACGGTTTCCATGGACTGATCAGATTACAACTTGGCATCACTGATATCAGGTATATGCTTGTCTTCTAGAATCAGTTGTGTCCCTTGGTGAAGGAGTTAATTCTAGTGTCAGTTAGGCTCACCTGTCGTCTTTCATTCTTGATCCTCACATTTGCTCAGCCATGAACATCTGCAGGGAAGAGATCGGGTTTAGAAGAGAGTTGATTGATTTTGCAGAGTTATGTCGCATTGTCTTTAAGCCAAGGAGAATGAAATCTCATAAGTGTCAATGACGTCACATGGAAATGGGTCGATGCTACTCAGAAATTGATTAATTATCCTCAAAGATGATCAGTGAGAGAGTACAACAAGAACACATAGCAGCACAAAGCTCCCAATAAGTCAGTCTTTATAAATTTTTAGAGACACGTGGTGAAGAAAAACACGTTTCCGGATGTTTGTTAGTTACCGGTTGACCGAAGAAGACGCAGCGTTAGCATGGTCAAACGTTAGCTGGAGGCTAATTCCAAAAACACGTGGCCGCACCTTTTAGACTTTAGCACGAGGTCAGGAAGATATATTATTAAATATATAAGCTCGAACGTAAAATGTATGTTGAGCACAACACGGTCACTATCAGTGTGATAATTTTAAAGAAGATGACGCAGAACGAGCGGGAGAGAATTGCGGATGTTGTATCCGGTTTGTAAGTTTACCAGCTTCCCGCTAACTGGAAGCGTATTTTAACTTCATATGTCTCAATAGCACGAGAGCCGCAAGTCACGTCGGCGCGTGGGTTTGATGACGACGGTTCGGTGCACGCGAGTTGTTTTCCACACCGCGTGCTGCTTCATGCTAACGCTGCGCCGCTAGCGCTCAACCCCCTGGTGGCTAACGGAATCCGAGTGAATTTGCAGCAGTAAATGCTTGATCAAATTAATCAGGACATTTATGAGGCGCGTGCGTGCGCTCGTGTTTCTTATTTAACCTGAGTCGTACAGACGTCCGGAAGACGGCCATCCTGCTGCAGTTCAACGGAGAAGACGTCAGCACCATCTCCCCAACGCGGGGCGGCGGCGGCTTCGGCTGCTGCAGCCGCTTCTTCTTCTTCTTCTTCTTCTGCTGCTGCTGCTTCTGCTGCTTCTTCTTCTTCTTCTTCTTCCTCTTTGCCCTCTTTTTTTATAGGCTTTATTGGTGTTTGGCAAACCCTCACTTTGCGCATTACCGCCACCAACGGGTATGGAGCGTGGATCGCGTAGTTCGTACATGCCAATTACCAATAAAAACAAAAGAACACAGAATCAAATTGTCTTAATAATATTAATGAATCCATGATATTGAAATTATAATCGCTAACAGTCACTTTTTAAAGTTATTTTGCATAATCTCTACTATGTCCAACCGTCATCTTGCCGAGGTCTAATCAGCCGCCCTCTTTCCTGCTCATATTTCTGATATTGGAAAATGACATGTTCAATTGGCTCCTGTTGGTCACACTAATCACATTTTACTGTTTCATGTTTACCTATTTTTTAGGATACTGTTAAGGATAGTGTGCCCAAATATAACCTTTGATATTACTGTTTCCTCTCTCCAAATTTTGTATCGAAAATGTTGAGTATTAGAGAAAAATACACATGAAATTAGATGAAATGTATCAATTTATTAATATTCAACTTTGTTATTGAAGCAATTTTGACAAAAAACTAAAACATCTAAAATGACCTCTCGTCTAATGAAAAATCCTGAAAGCAGTTCAAATCAGTTTAGAGCATGACATAAATACCCTCAATTGCAAATGAAATTGTTTGACGTTGTCACGGTGACATGACATGTGGCAGCAAAGTGCTGTCCCATTCATATTTACATCATTAAAAGCTCTGACTCCCACACCCAACCACTGACGGCACTTGAGTCCTCCAGGGGTCAGGGGTCAGGGTGGAGATTGGAATGGCTCTTTATTTCATCAACACTTTTTGCAGGTCTTCATCATGGTCACATTTCAATGACGTTCAGCTAATGAATGATCACTTCTATTGGACACCTGAAGAGAGCCATTGTCAAGATGCCTGCTGGGAAAAGACACATTTGGCTTGAACATATTTGCTGTGTGTTGTACTTGTCTTAGACCGGGCCTATTCAACTAGCGGCCCGTGGGCCGGATAAGGCCCTCCTGAAAGTTTTAGTGGCCCACGAGAGATGTGTATGATATGGGGAAAACAGTCCCTCACACCAAAAAACAAAAACAAAAAACATCCCATAAAATATATTGGATCTTTGATCTGACTCAGGCATACTCTGTGATTCGTCCCTTTTAAGACATATTGCTGTGATTGGCTGCCAATCACACATTAGCTTTATTGTCCTGTTGGGGGGGCACAGCGAAACTTCTGCTAGTTAACAAGCAAATAACAAGCCTCAATATGTCTCTCTCCAAGCCAAAAACATGGTGAAAATCGCCAGTTCCAGAGCAAATGGACCGATAAGAATTTATTCACTTTGCCAGCCGCAAAAAGCAATAACGTTTCACCCGTGTGTTTATTATGCAACGTCCAACAATTTTCCTGAGGGCTCGGAGGAACGGAGAAGAAAAGCGCAAGGATTGCTAGCATCTTTTCAAAGGGGTCAAGTGGTCCTCGCTCGCCTTTGTACGGAACAAGAGAGCCATGTAGCTTGGACGCTGGTCAGACATAAGCGCCCTTTTACCGAGGCAGAAAGCGTTAAAAATTGCATGCTTGAGGTCATTGATGAAATGGTTGCTAACGCAAAAGTTAAGCAAAGCGTCACTTCTTCCATTAAAAAGGTGCCTCTATCGGACACATCAACTCTTCGTAAAGTGGAAGTACTTGCAAGGGATGTTTCAAGAAAGCTTTTGGAAAATCTTCGGGATGCAGATGTTATGGGTATAGCTGTGGACGAATCAACAGATAGTACCGACGTGGCCCAGTTATGTATTTACATCAGGTTTTTTGATGGAGAGCATTTTCGAGAGGAGCTTCTGGGGCTTCTTCCATTATAGGTGAAGTGATATTTCAAAAGATCGCCGCTTTTTTTAACGTGCATGAACTGGATTTACAAAAAGTTTGCCTGTTGGTTACTGATGGCGCTCCAGCCATGATCGGTAGAGTGCAAGGGCTGGTGGCAAGACTGTCAGCTGTTGCTCCACAGATGCAGTTTTTACACGGTATAATTCATCAGTCCGTGTTGTGCGCAAAGCTCTGTGGCGAGCTAAAGAGCACCACGGGCACTGTCATGAACATTTTAAATTTCATCCGCTCAACCTCCAGCCTGCAAAAATGCCTTTTCCGTCAGCTGCTTGCTGACACGTTTGCTGAACACACCAACTTACTCGTCCATAACGATGTCCGATGGCTCAGCAAAGGAAAGGTTTTAGCAGTAGGGCCGAGTGCGAAAAGTGGTCGGTGGAAGGTTCCTTTGTCCGGACAGTAGGTTCCGGTGGTCGGTGGCAGGTTCCC